TGACAATCGTCAATTTCTTTTCTTTTCTCTGAAACTGTGAATTTTACAGATAAAAATATATATATTTATAATCCCTTAAATAGCTAGCAACAGTCGACTCAAGCAGTTTTATAGTAATCAAGAGAGAGGCTTACACGACGAGAACGTCGATAACCTATAATCAATTACACTAAACGCACCCACAAGACTACGATAGTACTAAACTAACCTCTCACAAGTGGAGAATTCTACCTCCAAAAGTGAAGAATAAACACCTAAACAAACACACACAAAAACTAAGTAAAAGACACTATAACACTAGCATAACCAGAATAACACTATAACACTAGGAAAACTAGATTAACACCCTCTCCACCAGCCTGCAAAAGACACTATTACCTCTAAAAGTAAAGAATAATACTTGATGAATTATTTTACCCACCCTAGTATAGCCTATTCAATGAGTAAACTAAATAGGTCCATTAGTAAACGAGCATTGCTCGATCCATGATAGAGTTTGAGTTTATAACATTGGACTAAATCAGAGAAGATGTTGAATGACGTAGAAATTTCGTCGAAGATATTCCATGTTGAATTAAACCAGTGTTGAGAAGAGCACAAACTATCTTGTGTAATGGTAACTCTCGACATGTATGTTGGAGGCACAATAAAGTAACGTAAATGATCTCGAAATGAGCTATCTTGGTTGATACGTTGAGTAAATGATCAAAATCCTAGTGGATCCGCTTACTAAAGGCACTAACTGAGATAAAATGTACAAGTTGGTTACGAGAATGGTTTCAAATCCACAATATAAAAAAGTCTTAGTGATACTCAAACTTGAGAATCAGAGATCTCAAAACCTTAATTCAGTGAGAAAACTAAGTTTCGACAACTCAGTGAAATACTTGAAAATTTTTACTTATTATTAATATTAAATATGCCTAATTGGTGAAGTTAAGTCAAAAACTTTTAATAATTCCTCTACATAAGAACTTTTTATAAGAGAACCACATTTGTACGTGAGAGGTAAATAGGTCTTAAAATCAACATTTACTAAATCGATATATGGTCAATAGTCGATATTAACACAATGTGAACAATATATTAGAGTTGTTGTTGTGTTAGTACTAATGTCTAGATGCACACAAAAAACTCGTAAGTTCGACGCATTACTACTAACATGCTAGTGTATGCAATAGTATTTCATTATGGAAGATTCGAAACCGCAAGTTATCTATGATGATGCAATGACGGCTCGTCAAATATTACATATATGCATTAATTTCATTCATGTGGGGGTTATCAGGGAAAACTGATTTTGTCAATTTTACGGCCTCATTTTTCAATGATGGAAAACTTTAAAAAAAATCTCAAAACCATTTTATATTGAATGAGAAATTATTTGTAAAGTTGAAATGTGGGGAAGTTGAGTTTTTGTAACTCAAAAGGGAGTTTAAGCCGCTCAAAAGTTAGTTATAATGGAAAAGTTGATTAGCTTGGGCATAAAGACCTAGGAGTCTCCACACCTAGCAACAACAGTTGGACTCGTCATGTTGTGCAACAACCGTCACACCAATGACGACTAGATCCATTGCGCCAGCAACGACAGGGTTTATCGCGCTAGCACCTGGACGTGAGCTGCTTCTGAATTCTGCACTTTAGACTTTGCCCGTCGAGCCCGTCGGCCCGATTACATGCATTCTTCAATCGACGACCCTCATCTGCATCGTATTACCACTACACACAAAAGTCGTTCCATTTTGACGGCATGAGTCATAGATTGTTGTGATTGTGCGTAATTTATGGGACTACAAAGTACAAATGGTCCTGATTGTTATAAATATATTAATATGGACATTACTAATAAATAATTGGGCCTGAAGTCCATTAGTGAGTAGGATTAGGTTGTAGGGCTTCCCTCTTGTAAACCCTATAAAAGGGTGATTATACTGATGAATAAGATGATATACTTTTCTGCTTCTCTTTTATCGTTCTCTTTACTGCACATCTTATGCTTGGATTGATGGATGCTTGTTGAAGATTAAGAGTTCCAATTTACAACACGTTATCAGCACGAGTACTCTACCATCTAAGCAAACGACAGCGGCATCAAGAAGAACTAGCAATCAAGGTAACAGTCAAGAATAGATGTATGCCCTAGAAAAGAATCGTGTCTTTTCTGTCAAGGTAACATTCAAGATTTATTCAATATCATCTATTAGTTTCATCAATTTTAGTTATATTTATTTATCTCCAAAAAAAGTGAATTGATGATTTTTGTATGAAAATTGTGCTCAAATTGCTTATTAATTTTC